TTGCAACAAAGTATGAACTACATCACCGCTACCTGTTATCCACTCGTCAGGTTAAAGTTAAAAATAATATTTTAAAGCGTATTTTTATGAAGTCCTGGAAGTCCTGAAGCCAAGTCGGTCGTAAATGAAAAATGGCTATAAAACTCGTCCAGTTTGTACAGCCATGTTCAAGACGAAATAGGCGTAACATAAGGAAGATGTCCAATTTGTAGTAAGAGTTAAAAAAATATATACTGCAAAGGAAACTATTGTTTGTCCATCGGATACACTGACAACCACGTGTTTTGGTTGCTCTAGGTTTCTAAAAACGATGCATCACATATTTCTAATAATATTTCGTTATTAAAAGTTAATATTTCTGTATTTTATAAGTGAACAAATCGAATTGTTAATTAACATAGCAACTAATTACTCAAAGAGTTTAAAAAAAAATTATACAGTTACGTAGTAAACCGTCCACTAACTGGTGATTAATTTGTCAATCACAATAGTTACAAGACAGTTAGTTGGAGTCACATGTGTAATTGGGTAATCAGCTCGTGAGAATAAAACAGACTACGAACAAAAACACTCTAATGAACAAATATGGGACAATTACATTTCTGCTGTACGTCTCATACATGAGTTTTCTGATAACCTGACAACTACATCATTAATGCGATTCAATATTTTATCCGAAGTCAACCAATAATTTACCAAGCATTTCATAGCTGTGTTGCAGTTACGTTGTGCATTGTACATTTTTCGAGACATACAGAATTCATAAGAGAACTAAGGAATGACTGAAAAAATTTGGTTGCAAAATCTGATGGACAGATAGCGGTTGGGAGACTCATAACGTAGATGGGAGGGTAATATTAATATTGTTTTTTCTTAAATAACTTATGAAAATATTAATTGGATTGAAATAGAAAATAATTCACCTGTAAGCTTTAACGACGACATTGACTAATCTTCATCGTCCAACATAAGCTGGAAATTTTTTGACTGGCTGAATAATTATGGACAGCTGAAGGAAAATTCTGTTCCATAATTCGTGTGTGTGGGTGGTTACGTGCTTACGTGCGTTAATGCGAAAAATGGGAAAACTTTAAAATCATTATAGTTATGCACAAAAAACACAAATTCTGTGCTGAATTTATATAAAGAGTTTTTTTTTTTAATATTCCTGTGGAAATTTGTAATTTTTTGAGCAAAAACACTACAAAATTAAGATAAAATTAAATTAGAGAAATTCTTTTTGCTACTCAGTTCAGAATATTTACCTTCCCTCTTTCCGGCTACAAACTAACAAATTTTAGTACATTATTGTCGCAGTAATTGTCTTCCCATTCATCAACAGAAAAAAAATTAAAAGTTCGCTTCACCCGCCAGGAATCGAACCTCAAACTACTGACAATGTATTTCACACTTCTGTTCGTGACTTACATTACCGACGCTGCCAATAAGTTAGACTACAAAGTTAGCGCCGAATGGTAGTGCAGTAACTCAGGTGACTATCCTGGCATTCGAATGGAATGACTGAGGAAAACCAAGGCAGACACACGTCAGAACAGCCTGTGTTCTGGCCGAAATCTGAACCTAGGACATCCAAAACACTAAATGGGAGTACTGACCATTCGATTCGATAAGCTATGGCCACCCGGATAGCCGCTCTGTAAGGTCGTAGGTCGCGCATAATTGCAGACATTTATATCACATTAAAGACACGTTGGCTGGCGGACCTGCTTTACGACTTCTGGGATAGCCTGTGTATATGGGATGGAATCAATTAGCGGTTACAGCCTCTTTACGAGGGAGTTGCTGCTAAATCAATCACACTGAGACGGGTTTACTGGCTTCGCAACATTGTGCTTCAAGGATTTCCACGAACAATACACCACCCATACCATTTTCGGGGCTTATAACCAACTAAATCTACTTAAACACAAACCCAGAAACTGCACTGATACCTGCGACTTCAAAATTTCTTTAGTCCTAATGTAGTACACTAATTTTATTTGTTTAAATAAATAAATTCGACGAAATCAATGTAAGAACATCAATATAAGTTCACGAACATAATTTAATTCCTGTGTCATTATCTAGCCACAATTAGCTGCAATGTGAGAGTAAAATATGCGATGTAGAAAGCTTAAAACTTCAGTAATATGACATCAGAAAAATACAATTGTAGTATCTACTCAATTCGCGGACTTCTTAAGACAACTCACGCGCTCCCGGTTGAGAAACACTGCATTACAATATAATGTTCCTACATTTACCTAGACAGACTGAAGAAAACCACGAAAAAATAAAAAATATTATAAAAATCCATTTCGAAGACCAGCACGTATGATCACCAGGCACAAGGCCATCTCTTATCCTTAGGCTTTTACGAGGCGCGTCCTCAAATTAAGTTTCCCACTCGTCCCACAGCTAGCAAACCTTATATTGCGCGAAGCGACTGTGCGTACGTGATAGAGCAATGACGTAGCATGGCGCATGCACTAACGGTACTTCCCGCGTTCTCACAGTAGCATCGTTGCAGCTGTTGAAGATGGAGGTTCTTATTCCAGCTCCCGCCGACTGTGAAGTGCGGCCAGTGATAACGCTAGGCCGCACACGGCTCAACGGACAGCAAGTCTCCTGCAGGAGTTCAGCTGGGAGGTGTTTAATCATCCACCCTACAGCCCGGACCTCGCTCCCAGTGATTTCCATCTTTTCCTACACCTCAAGAAATTCCTGTCCGGTCAGCGTCAGCGTTTTGAGAATGACAGAGAGGCGGAGATGGCTGTCACACAGTGGTTCCAATCCCAGGCGGCAGACTTCTACGACACAGGTATTAAAAGTTGGTCCCACGGTATGACAAATGTCTCAATTCCGGTGGCGAATATGTTGAAAAATAGCTGGACACTTGCTGTATCTGTTGCAATAAATATTTCCATGAAATTGTGTTTTGTTTCTGTAAATGGCCCCAGGGAAACTTACTTTGTGGACGAGCCTCGTATATGTCTATTACAACTGGCAGGTAAATTAATAACTGAAGCGAGCAAAAACTTGTGAAATTCCGAAAGGAAGTTCAGTGATAATACAAGGGCCGACTTCCGAACTCTGCAAGTCGGGTCGAAGCCAGAATCGACGAAGGAGAGCTTGAGATGAGTCGAAACCACGAGCTCTGTTTTATTGCATCTCGTAAATCATACAGCAGTGCAGGAGAGAAATGCAGAAGTGGGGGGGGGAGCAGAGGGGTGTTCATTTACAATAAAATAAACGTAATATACGAAGGAGGTCGTGTGCAAATTATTCCAAAGTGACTGGAAGAAAATTGAAACAGGCAACGCGGGCTAGTATCAGAACAAGTGTACAAGGGAACAGTAACACCTGAAGACCATGTACGCTAACATCCCACTTACATGTTTGTATAATCGTACATCTTCGAATCATACTGTTCGAAAAAATAAAACAACGATCCCTAAACATTTTAGATAACCTTCTATCCTGGTACCGGCGAATTTCCCTCCATAAGTGAGATTTCAGTTTCCCAAGGCTAAGACTTCAACAAACGACGCGTTTGAAATCTAAAAAAACCTGTCTTACCCATTATGCAACAGTCTACATTTCCCTATAAAATAAAAAATTAGGCTAAAATCAAGTTTAGCTTCGCTAAGAAAATAATAAAGACATTAAGAAATGCGTGGACTTCTTTCCTACAAAACATCGCCGTGACGCATCGCGACGAAACACTGTCGGTCCACATCCTGCTGACTCAAGACCCTACGCCCCACCCTCAGTTATTGTGTGGTAATAATGAACCGCTTATTAACAACACGCCGTGAAATAAAGTGCGTATGAGGTTTGACTGGCATTGTAAATTCCTCGAACTGAAACATTTAACTAATCTGAACACAAGCCAGCATCTTAAGAACGAGATATTTAAAACTATTTCTTCTTCTTGTTATTACAAAGATGCCAAATGGTAAACCAAAACTGAGACAGAAATTAACTGCGAAAGAAAACGGTCCGAAATGGAATAAAGTCAACTTATTTTACAAATTATATTTTGAAAATCTGCATAATTCTTTGGTCCGTAAGGTTATTTCTTGGAGGTAAAAATTATTCTTTCAAAGTTAAACGCACTATCAGAATTGTTTTTTTTATTTCAATAAATATTTGCAACATTAACACACATTTTTCGTACGTAATAAAAGTTGTGAGTGTGAAATGACGTCTACAGGCCCAATAATCCAAATTTTCAAAGGCAAACAGTTTATTTTTATTAAAACCTTCGATTTCACTTTCATGTCTTTTAGAGCAGTGGTATTCAACCTTTTTTGTTCGCGTACTCCCAGATATAATTTCTCTTCAACTTTGTACCCCCAAAGTTGTTGGTGTATAATTCAAGTTATACGTAGTATATAATCTACATCTAAAATAAATTAAATAAATTACATTACTGATTATTCAGTGTTTATCATAAAATGATATATATTTTTTTAAATTTCACGTACCCCCTAAGATGTCTTCGCGTACCCCAGATTTAATACCATTGTTTTAGAGGATATAATGATCTGTCGGAAAGTTAATTACAATTAAATTATCCGGCATTTCGGGGCATACGTCCACAACCAAATGGAATAAAAAAAGCTGTCAAGTAGTTTCGGAGATGAAAGATTCGGACTGACACCAAGACAGCATTACACGTTCATTCTAGGAAAGACCATGAAGGCTACCGACGTCACCTGCGAGATGCTATAATGATGGTGATGATAATCGCGAGTCGGTGCTATCAGACTACTTCTGTCAACAAGCTTTGCGAATCTGTGTAATGAAATTCACTTGACTAAACACCACACATTGTACATAAGCGTCTGACTGATATGGAATAAAGTCCCTGAACTTGGAGAGCCAAGGTCCTGAAATTATGCCGAAATTCCACTAGGCTCTACCTAAACTGTGACTCTGTTCAAGTGTGAACTGTGTCTCCGTTCCAGTCTGTACACTGCGTGCATTTGTTCCAGGGAAGAGTTTCAGCATCACAATCACCGTGAACACGTCTCCTCCACAAGTCGCTACGTACAGCAAGGCGATCAAGGTGACGGTGGACGGGCCCCGTGAACCGCGCTCCAAGACACGTGAGTATATTTCATGTGCACATAATATAAACACATTGTAATTGGCACGTGTGTACAGACAACCTTACTCGTTGTATCCAGCTCTGTTCGAATTTACTGTGCTATTTATCTGTATCCAGAGAGTAGCTGGGGTAAAAATTCTACAAGTTAATACTCTCTTTCTCTCCATATATTTAGACATAACGAAGAAGACTGTAAAATAATCAAACAAACAATAATACACTAGACGGTATGCAAAGTTTTAAGAATAAGACCGTCTTTTAGCGTCATGTTATGGATCTATCAGATTTAAATTTATTTCAGTCTTCACACAACTTACAATAAATAACTTTCCCTTAGGTACGTTAACTATTTGATGTCATTGATTCCTACTGTGACACGTTTCAGCCTAAATTTGCCCATCATCAGAGATCACTACTCGTTACACGTTTAATGATATTAAAAAATTCACACGCTTATAAGCTATTTTATTACATTCCAATGATATCAATAAAATTCTTACGTTGTGCGTTATGTTCTTACAAGTGTTAATTTCGCTACTCCGATTTACAATTGCGACAGCCAAGTGATTTTGTATAGTGTTTCGGATTCAGAACATTTTAACTGAATTATGCCTGAATCGCTTGCGCGTTAGGCTTATCCTTGATATGCTAGTTCAAGTCTCGACCAGGAAAACACCATAACTGCGGTTTGCAAAGATTTTCCTCAGACTCTCTAAGTGAGTATCAGAAGCTGTATCTTCAACCGGATCATGCTTTTCTCCTTCCCGATCATTACCTAATAAAAATTCATAATGACGTTTCACGCTCATTTCACACTAGGTATACTAACGTCTGTAAAAACACATGCAATAGAAAAAAGTTTCATCACAGAACTTAGAAATAATATTAAATCATCCTCCCATAACACTATATGAACTATTCAGAACAGAATGCATGGTTATATAACTAAGACACTGACGCACAATTAAGGTGTATTGAGGGCGCTGAAGCAAGGCTCCTTACTTTCCAACACCGGGAAGTAGATAAAGGTGATTTGTCAGATTGACTCTCCAGCGGTTAACCCACGGTGGGAAACTGGCTTACCCCAGTACCGGGATCTGAACCCCGTCGTTACACAAATACATTTCATGGCATCTGGCCTCTGAAGAATGTGTTGTGTATAATGAGCAATGAATAAAGGCGATGTTTCATCTCCTTTGATACTCAGATGATAAATTAATTCCATATTTACAGAATACAAAGCAAAACTATGCCAGAGAAACTTGTGGAAATAACACTGTGCCAATTGGAACATGGAGGGTCGGTCCTGCAGTATTTTGCGTCTGCCTTCTAAACTTCCTAATAGACGTTCTCCTTCATTTTACAACTAAATCAGTCCACAGAACGTTCCAACACAACGAACACCACGGGAGCAAACAACACACAGTCAAACCGACCTGATTTCTTTGTCCTACAGTTTTAAACCATTTGCATATCTCGACGCGTGAGATACGAACGAGTATAAAAACTGATTATTTCTTAGAAAAGTATTTGAAAATAGTGTAATCAGTCAACTACATCATCCCACTGCCGAAAATGACCGACTTCGAAACAATTCACAAATTTCGAAGTCCTTACCCAACAATATCCTTAAACATTAACCCACTCTCCGCGACTAATCTTATCTCGTCCTCGTACAGAATACTAATGATGCCTGCAGGGGACGTCTTTTCTCGGGAGAAAATCAAACAGGAGGCTGTGTGGGTAACAGGGTCGGTACGGGCGTGGTTACGGAGAAAACAATGACAACCCCGCAGGAATCAAACCTTGGTCGATCAGCCCTTAGCCAGGCAATATGCTGACTGTGGTATCCCAGCTCCACATGACCAGACAATAAACAATGTCCATGGTTTTCCATCACCCTGTGCCCGTGTAATTCCTAAAGGCATCCTGTGACATCCTACCAAAGACACTGCGTAATTTAACTCAGAATACCTCGCATTCCATTGTGTCGCTGTTTGCAGACTCAACCGGCGTCCATGGCAAAGAAACTACTTAATTCAGTAGCAGGTGCGGCTTTGCATCAATTTCGTGACTCCTCTTGGAATATTATTAAGTAGAGCAAGTAATATATTTACGTAATTTTGACGATGTTTCATCAGTCTCTGAAATAGAAATGGCATATTTGGTGAGTACGGTATTTACGAATTTGGCAGTATACAGTTTACACTAAAAATTATTTGTTGTCAGGACTTTTCCCAACGTCTGTTGTATTTTTTTAAATTCACGACGTTTCGGAGGCTGTTTCTGCCTCCGTCTTCAGGTGAGAGGTACCTACTCTGTTGGGTCCCTTAGAAAGAGCTAGTCTCTGTCACTGGACCTGACAACAAATAATTTTAAGTCAAAAGTCGTCATAACCCTTTAGAATTGAAGTATACAGTTTAAGTGATCGAACCGTATACTGGCATTTTCCCGGACACTTTGGCGGAACCACGAAAACTTCAGAATCTTAGTCGGTACCCATGGATTCCTCGAGTACATCATAGGGTACATTCGAAACCAAAACTATTTCAGCAATGCACGCTACAGCTGTGAAGATGCATTGAGTGTTTACTTTGTCGCGATAAGTTTTGCCGTGGCCCCATGTTTCACGTCTCGCGGTTGCAAGGGAACAAGGACGATACAGCAGCAGATGAGCCGACAAAGCAGGACTCGAGGGGGGGACAGAGGATGATGATTCAGGCATTTCTCGGCTACACGCTTCGGAAGGCACGGCATGGAAGACCCTGCCACGGCTCTAACTAGCTAACCGACTGACTGACGAGATAACCAACCATAGCCGGTTGTCTAAGTTGCAGACTGTTTTGTTAACTAAACATATAACTAGCTACCTACATGACAAACTAAACCTCTGGTAGAAGAACCTTAAGGTTCAACACACCTAATAATAAAGCCCTGCATTGGACAGGATCCTAAGCCAGTTTAATCCATCAGATTCATCTCACCTAATTACTGCCCTACATAAGGCCTTCTGTAATGACCTGACCTCATCCACCTTGAAGATGGCAGCTACAATGTTTTCCGAAACGTTGGTTAAAACTAAATATTCTACGCGGCTCTCAACCGAAAACTGAAATTAGACCCTGCGCGCACTAGCGGTTTGGGCCGCAGTCATGGAACGCACTGTTTCAGTACGAAGCGAACGCACGTGCGGTAGTTTTACCGTTGCGGTATTTCTGCCGCAAGATGCTTCATTTTCGGTTGCCGCGGAACACGAAGAACCCCGAGCGGTGAAACAGCCGCTCATCGACCGTTCTTTTCCCGACCTTGGCGTAACTGAATGGGAGAAAAGGCCGGCAATGTACGTTTCGGCCCAATCGGAGAACAGTGACAGAACCTGTCTGTGATAGAAGTCTGTGAAGCTCTACTGCCTAACTCGAGCCAACTCGACAGAAAAAGGAAGTATCTAAATAGTTTCTTTGGATACATACGCAGGTGTTAAAATAACTTGTGAAATTTGGCTTTCAAAAACCCTTGACTTAAAAGTGGAGGGAACCAAAATTTATTTCTACGCTTTGCTCTTAGCAAAAAAAAACGCACACAGAGACAGTCTCAAAACAAAAATCCATGCCTCGACTTAACAGCCTAGAGCACACGCCATCTGTCTCCACAAAATCCAGCTCCCGGATGAAAAGAAAACGCAGACAATGCGTTTATTTCACCGCTAGTGTGTGCCTAGCCCTTAAAGTTGTATTAAGTTCAACCGATTTTACCAAGATAAATGAATCTGTCCCTGCCCACAAGAACCACTCTGCGAAAGGAAAGGAAAGGATAATGTGCATCACACGATGTTATCAGCGAAGTCAGTATTTGTCTTATCAGTAATTGCATACGATGAAGGTCAAGCTTCTAGTTTTTTTGCCGACTACTGTACCTGCTGGACAGGACATAGTGCAACTGACAGCTGTTCTGGGCACGGTTAGCTTCACCCACTCCGCTACTGGGAATCGATTCCCGGTTATCTGGCTCGTAGTTCGATTAATTTCGCATGCCTCGATAACAAAAATAATAACAATAACAATTTTCAAAAAAGTTCAGGATTATTTAACCCGTTTCAAGGTCACGCAATTTATTTCAACCAACTCTTTCTTGGTCTTCCTAAATTCCGCTTTCTCCAACGTCTTACAGCTGGAAAAATTACTTGATAATCGTATTAACTTGACTATTGATATTTTTTTATTTTAATATCTATGATTTTATTAAATTCAGATAAGTTCCTTATATACCCCCAGTAGACATATCCTGCTGTCCTAAGTCGGAGCCCCACGTGGACATTTTCCAACACGTGTTCCCATCAAACAACTGACTGCCCTAATAGAACTGTGAGACCTGCGTAAAATTTAAATAATTGAACACAGTCAAAAACTACTTGCTTCCTGCTCCTTAAATTGTTTCCTATAGAACAAGGCTTGATGAATCAGTCACTTCACCAAGAATTACTAACGCCTATTATTATTATCCAAGGAATAAAAAAATAACTAAACTCTGAATTTGAGTAAAACAATGTCTGGCCCTGTAGCCAACGTGGCAGAGAACTTTATTCATTACCTTGTAAGTCAATTACAAAGTATCCCGTATGGGGGCCAAAAATCGTGGGACTGAACCTAGTGCGTGTCTTCCGCCGATACGTAGTTACGTGTAAAACAATCGAGTCATTAAAGTGTGGTTATAAAGATCGTCGACTCCTCTTGTACCGTCACTGATATAACAAAAAATGGGACGTCCGTTTATTCCACTGGCCCCTATCGGTACACCGGTAAAGTTCGGTCCGTGGCAGTTTCCTGTCCACATGAGACAATCTCCCTACAGCACGACAAAAAAATACATTGCCTGCAGGTGGCTGATATGGTGGGGGGAGATGAATTCCGCCACGGAATCCTACTACGAAAATGCAGTCATGGAAGGCAGGATACTGTCCACAGACTGATGCATTTCTTTAATCAAGTGAACGCATAATGA